AGACCCAACACCTTGTATTCCAAGGGGACCATGACCAGATATGCCCATTTATGGGCAAAGTGGTGGCCTTGTGGACCTAACCACAACCTTCAATGAAAAGGCAACTTCAAGCTTTCAAGGGATTATCAAAGTATTACAGAAGCTGATCAGACCTTCCAAGAGGCCAGGGAACCCTTATGCCATTCCCTGGTGTTGCAAACATCTGATTTTGATTGGCAGTTTATTGTATAGACGAATACATCAAACATGGCACTGGGGTGATGTTACCTCAAAGAAGAGAGGGAACTGAATATCCTATAAGTAGGAAACTACATTCACAAGAAAAAAAACATTCCACCATCAAGAAATAATATCTTGCCATTAAGGGGGTTGTAGAGATGTTCTGGTATTATCTGTTAAGCTGGCAGTTCACCATAATCACAAAAAATGCTCCTTCACACTTGCTACAGTGAAAGGAAAACAGACAACATGAGGCTCATGAGGTGGTCCTTTAGTTTACAACCCTATTGTTTTTTAATGGAGTACCACCCTGGGATATAAAATGTGAATGCTGACTTCTTCTTATGAAAACATGAAGAAAAGAAGATGCAGAAGACAACGCACCCCCTGGACAAGGAAAAAGGTAAGGGGTTTGTGTTAAAGGGAACTCTTGCCATGTTACTGAGGGAAGACGAGAGGGCCAGCAGGACTGGCAAGGCCCCTATAAGAGCAGGGTCTTTGTGGCACAGAGGGTGCACCTACACGTGTGCCAGATTGCACAGTAACTGGTGTTACTATGCAGTCCTGGTGCCGCATGTTTTTTCCCCCCACATTACTGTGCAGTAGCATTGGCATCACAGTTTGTGCTGCTGATGCTATGTCCCCATAGCAACAAGCTATGGCAATGTAGCTCATCGCTATGGTGATGTAGCATCTTGTGTAGACACACCCAGAGACAAGGGAACTCCAGGAAGGAAAGGCAGCTGGCAGGGCTGAGTCTAATGAGCAATCCCTGTGCTCAGATCAGATAATGGGTCAGGCTGACTGGAAGGGGAGAGGCTCAGGAGAATACATAGTCTTGCCCTCAGGCTGGAGAGACATTCTAGCCCTGGCTGGGGAGAAGGCAGGACTCCCAAGACCACGGTGGTGACCAGAAGCAATAAAGAAGCCCTGGTGGGTAAGGACAGAGAGGGTTTTTTTTTTTTTTTTCTTTCTCTGGTTTTCCTACCACAGGACTGAGAAAGGAAAAGGATTTGAGTTTGTTAGTTTTGGTGCTCAGTGTTTAGAGGGGTGGGATTTTATTTTGAAGTAGTTGCTGGCATTTCAGGTTCAGTTTGATGGGAGGACTGGGAATGGCTGTGAAGGGAAGTGGAAGTTGCATTGCAGGCATCTTAAAGTACCCTGCAAGATTGGCTCTTGTAGGCAAGAGGGCCAAAGAGAGGGAGAAAGGAAGAAAGAGAGGGAATTTAACCCCCCAAGGCTGAACAGGAGGGGCACCAAGCCCCAACTGTGGGGCTTAATTCCCAGCCATGCCACTGCTGCCAAGAAGCCAAGGCTGGAACCAGTGGGATAGGCCTGAGGGTAGCAGCTAGTAGGCCTGTACAAAGCAGCTAGTATTCGCTTTGGATTCGGCCAATTCAGGGAACAGTGATTTGATTTGGGGATTCAAATCACTGTCCTGAATCGATCTGTCCGAATCTGATTTGGAGATTCGGCTGCCGCTGAATCAGCTGAATCTCCAAATTGAAAAGGCCCCATTCCCTGCCCACTCTCCCAGCCCCGTAAATGGCTGCCCCACCTGGCCCCAGCATTCCAGCACTTAAAAATAAATAAAAGCACTGCATTCACTGGCTCCTGCCAGGCAGGGGGGGCGATCCCTGCTGCCCCCCACTGTCCTGCACTGCATGGGGGGGGCTCTGCCAGGAGCCCTGATGGCCACTGCAGCAGCTGGTGAGTGCAGGGCTTTTTTTTTAAATGCTGGATGCTGAGGCCAAGCGGGGCAGCCACTGATGGAGCTGGGAGAGCAGGCGGGGGTTGGGGGGCTGGGGGAACAGGCAGGGGTGAGACCTGGTGGGGGTCCCCCCCCATGGTCCCCTTCATCTCCCCCAGCCCCCACACTCCCTACCTACTGGCACAGAGTCCGTGTCCAGCTCCCTGTGGTGGCAAACGAGGACTGCCCAAATCTCCAAATCTTTTCCAAATTGATTTGGAGGCTTTGAATCAATTCATACCTTTTTATTGGTCTCCCGATTTGTTTTGGATTCAAAGATTCGGCTGCTGAATCAGGTCGAACCTCCTCCGAATAGAATCAGCAACCAAAGTTTGCCCAGCCCTAGCAGCTAGGGCAAGTAGGCCCTAACCAAGAGGGTTGAGGTCTAGACAAGTACAGGAGAATGGAGTCAAGAGACCCAAAACAAACCCCAATCTCATGCTCAGGACACCTCCCATATAACTGGTTGTTCCAACAAGGTGTGGCAGGTGAGACCCAGGGCACTAGTTTGGAAGAGCTGGAGTAGGGACAGGCTAGCCAGCTTCTGGGTGTTACTACCACCCAGTAGACTGGAAATGCTATACCACTAAGGACATAAAAAACTTTATAGCACTGTGACAAGCTCAAGTCCCAGGGGTGGCTGTGATGCCCCTGGTGGCCACTTGACCACTGTCCCCACTCCAGCTTCATGGAATACCCTTTCTACCTTACCTGCCATGCCTTGTGACTAGGAATAATGGGTGTAAACTAGTTGAGAGTGGATTTAGGTTAGATATTAGGAAGCCATTTTTCACAGTAAGCATGGCTAGGATCTGGAATGGGCTTCCAAGAGAGGTGGTGCTATCATCTAGCTTGGACGTCTTCAAGAAGAGGCTAGACAGTCACCTGGCTGGGGTCATCTGACCTCAGTCCTCTTTCCTGTCAGGGGCAGGGGGTTGGACACAATGATCCATTGTGGTCCCTTCCGACTCTACAATCTATGAATCTATGTTATTTGTTAGGTTTTGGGATGCTATCTCCAGTGCCGCAGAGTGAGCTCAGTCTTGCCCCTTAGACTCTATGCTGGGGCCCTACTGGTCCCATGCGTCTCATAGCATCTGTTGCCTTATGGACTATTTGTGGCCTCTTTCTGCACCTGCAGCTACATCCATGACTCACAGAAGTGTGGTGGTCCATTGCAAAGACTCATCTGAGTTAGCTGGCTTATGCTTAGCATCACAAAGAAAAACATGATGTGGTTAGTATCACAAAGAAAACCACGTTATTTCTCCAACTATTGGGGAATTCTCCTCCACTAACTCTCTCAATCACTTTGATTTATTGCATGCCATGTTTCTTCCTTAGAAAAAAGTCTGAGAACTTTTAAACTATTAAAAGTTTATAAAAATTTCTTTCTTTACCAAGTAAAATGTGACATTAAAACTATCAATCACAGTCCTAGAGAAGTCCTATCTATTTCATTACCTCTAGTCTGCTAGTATTTGTATTTGGAACCACAATTTCTGGAAACAGATCAGTCATAATATTCTCAAACAGTGGGACATCTTCTGTGAGAAACTTGGGTAAATTGGTTTCTTTCAGAGCACTGATTATAACGAGAGCTTCTTCTTCTGCATGAAGACCTGTTTGATTATTTCTAAAAAATCAGAAAAAGAATGTCAAAGCATTACAACTTGCATACAGTTCTGTTGTACAGCCTGGGAGAATGTCATGCTCCTCATTTTCTGGTTTACTTACAGTTTACTGTGCAACAGAGTTTTTGCAGATACTTCAGAAATAAATCACATTTTTGCACTGAAATGACTTTTAAAAGACAAGCTGATATATATCAATAAAGCAGAACATACAATAAAAGGAAAATGAGATGAAATATTTCCTTCTGGTCCCAATCCTGGTCTCAAAGATGTTAATAGCTAAAATCCAATTTATTTCACCAGGAGCAGAATTAAAACAGCAAATTATTTTCAAACACATCATAAAGAGGAACAATGCAGTGTTGGGGGTGTACCCCAACATAACTGGAGAATGAATACCTGCTGTTATCAAATACATGTCCTGTACAGTCGTCTCTCAAAAAAATTAGGAAAAACCCTGTACCAGGGATGACAACATGGCAATAGAGCTAACAGCACACTGGCACTGATTCTGAATATGTTTGGCAACCACAAAAAACAGTTCTGGCAAGGCTCTATAAACATGTAGTTATGCTCTCCCCTACAGCATATGAAAAGCTTTCAGAGACTAAGAGGAGATGATAATGCCTTTGTCAAATACATTAATTCCAAATATTCTGACCACTGTTGAGTTTCTGAAGAACTTTGGGATTATGTTTGATGGTGACTCTATGGCCTAGTAAGGAGAATGAAAGGATTCTATTCCATTTCATCTGCCTTCCTTTTCTTTTTGTAATGGCATTCCAGTACCAATATATAAGATATACCTGAATCCATGCTAAACATTTCTTTCAAACACCCTGGCAAACAACATGGAAAGCAGATTGATGACAAAGAGCATCCAAGATTTTGACAACTGACTGACTGTTTTTGTTGTGTTTTCTTGCTCAGCATCAGTAATTGCTATAGCCTTTTGCCATAACTTCAATCACATGCTGGACAGTCATCTAAACTGACCTTTCTGAAGATCACTGATGTTCTGTCTAATTACTGGATCCATAATTTCTACCCTGGTTTGCTTTGTTGCACTTTCGTGGCAAGAACCATCCTATGAACACAAGTCCTCAAGTCTTTGCAGGATATGGTGATACAAACATAGTCCAGTCTTCCTCACTTTCTTTGCCTGGAGCCGGCTAAATTAAGTCCTTCACGGCCTCATTTCATTTTCTGTCATGGAGTATCTGACCACTTGACTACCTCACCATCTTAATTTCCTTGGTGGAGAGCATAGTAACTTTCCTTAGGGCTGATCAATCTTCTATTCTGCACATTAGGATGGTGTGAATTGCTGACATGTACACTTTATTTTTAAATTTTATTGACATTTGCATCAAGCAGCTGTGGTGCATTGTTGTGGATCACTGAGGAGGATGCTGTCATCAGCAACCATTGATCTAAGGTATTTAAAATTCCTTCAGTCTCTTAAACTTGATTCATGTGATATTCTTTATATGGATCAGTGTCCCTCAGTTCTCATGGCCTCACCACATCCCAAGGTGTTTTGCTTTGTCTGTTCTCAGAAATGGACTCAATGCTCATTTTTTATGCAGAGCAATGTTTACTACAAATTTTCTATTATAGCTCTATTTAGCTTTGACAATGGGTTTGTCTCATGTACCTTGAATAAGGCATATACTTCTGATGACACAACTCACCATTGCAAAACCCACCAAATTTAAACTTTGTTGGTTTAAACCTCCAACAGTGTCTTAACTTTGCAACCTTTAATTTGGGATCCTGACTGCATGGAATATCTATCCTTCTTTAAGAACTCACATAACTCCAATCTTCTTGTACTTATCTTTCCTACATTCCACTCACTAGCTTCTTCAGCTGTAGTCGTGGAAAATCTCAGAGTGCCCTTTCCAAGTTGTAACAGTCAAGCTATTGTATGTTACTTATAAGGAATGCCCTAACCTTCTGAGATACACTACTACAGACACCAGTTTATAGGAGCATATCACTTATAGCAGCGTTACAAGTCAGCTGTACAGGCATAGCACTCTTGGTCTGAAATGAGAGTTTTCTTTCTCCTAGTTAAATGTTTTCCAAGGCTAAATAGTCCCATTCTGAGGTTTAGAAAGTAACTCAGGCTTACCCTTGCACAGGCAGAGATAGTCAGCGAACTTAATAAGGATTTTTTCATCTCTAAATTCTGATATTGAGCCATATGTTCACTCTGCTACAGCACAGGATACTTACACTAAAATTCTTTTTCATTTAGCACAACTCCTTTTTGGCCCTTGCAGCATGTCTCAGAGGCTGAGATATTTGATGCTGTGTGCTGAAATAATGACTTAACTAAACATATTCAGTAACAACATCATAATCCCAGAGTGTTTATATTTCCTCTTTCCATTGCAATTAATTGGTTAGGGCAGTAGTTTTCAACCTATGGCCCACAGACCCCTGAGGGTCTGCAGACTGTGTTTAGGGCATCCATAAAAGATGACTATGATCAATCAACAGTATGTGAATACCCATACTTACAATTCAAAGGGGCCTGCACTTCCATTCAACATTTCCAAAGGGATTCACAAATGAAAAAAGGTTGATGTATTTGTGTGTTTGTATGTATGCTGGGGACAAGGCTACATTGTGCGATGCTGCGAAGATTCCAGGTAATGTACACCCATGGAACAGCTCTGGATCTCGTCTACAACAGGCTCAATAGTTGTGTACATTAGGCCTGTGTGAAGTGGCAAGTATTTGATTCGGATTCAGATTCAGCAAATTTGGAGGGACGGTCATTTGATTTGGTGATGTGAATCACCGTCCCAATTTGATTTGGCCGAATTGGATCCAAAGATTTGGTGCTGATTCAGAGATCTGGCCATAAACTAAACAGGCAGCAGTCCTCGACCACACTGGACACAGCTGCCTCCAGCTGGCAAGTCTGTTGTGGTGGACACAGGGGGGAGGGGACGGACATGGGGGGGGCAGATCAATGACCCCACAGTGAGGGAGGGATTGGGGCTGGGACAAGCTGCTCAGCTGGGACGGGAGGGCACGGGACTCAGGGAGGGGGGCTTCCGCCACCACACGCTGCCGGTCCAGGAGGGTATGGGACCGAGAGTGTGTCCCCAGATCTGCGTGGGGTGGGCTGGGCCAGTCAGCACTTCAGACAGGCAACAGAAGGCACTGGGAGTGGGGCTCTGCCTTGCTGCAGCTTGTCCAGTCGGAGTGGGGGGGTCCAGGATGTGGGCGCAGCAGCACTGGGAGTGCGGGCTATGCCCTGTTGCTGGTTGCCCAGCTGGGATAGGGGAGGGGGTGTGTGCGATGCAGGCATGGCTCGTTCCAGGTGGAAGGCACTGGGAACAGGGGCAATGCCCTCTCACCACTTACCCAGATGGGGCAGAGAGGCATGGGATGGTGTCGCTGCACTGCCTCAGACAAGCAGCGTGCAGTGGCGGAAGTTGCTCCAGCCTTCCCATGCCTCCTGCACAAGCTGCGGCTTCACCCTTCCGTGCCCTGGCTGGGTGAGCAGCAGCAGGGCACGGGGGTGGGCACATGCACCCAGATCGGGGAGGAGCCAGCGGCAGGGGCTATGGGGAATTTTAGGGTGGCTGCAGCCCCCCCATAACCCCCACTCCACTGTGCTCTGTGGGGTGGGTGGATCCAGGGCTGCACTCTGGGCTGCTGCTGGGGCTAGCTGCCTGGAGCACAGCCCTGGCTCCACCCGCCTTGCAGATCCTAGCCTGGCAACAGGCAGCTGGGATTAGCCTTCCGGAGCGCAGCCCAGCCCAGTCTGCCCTGCGCAGATCCAGGGGCACACACCCGCTCTGATGCCCTCCTGGACTGGTAACAATGAAAAGGGCAAATGGAGACTCCCATGCCCACCAGCCACGGTGTGCAGTGGTGGGAGCCCCGCTCCCCAACTCCTGTGCCCCACCACCCGGGCTGGGCATCTTATCCCAGCCCCAGCCCCAACCCCTACCTCGCTGTGGGGGTGTTGATCTTCCCGCCCCCCCATGGCCCTTCCCTCCCCCCTCCACAACAGACCTACCAGCTGGAGGCAGCTGTGTCCAGTGCTGTCGAGGATTGCTGCCTGTATAGTCTATGCCCAAATCTCTGAATCGGCACCGAATCTCTCCAAATCGATTTGGAGGCTTACAGTTTGATTTGGAGCTTTTAATGGGTCTCCCAATTCAATTCATATTCAGAAATTTGGCTGCTGAATCAGGCCAAATCTCTTCTGAATCAAATCGGCTACCGAAGCTTCACACAGCCCTAGTGTACATTATGCTGGGGACTATGGAGCAGCCATAGAAAGGTTAAGATTAAACAGCCACTTTTGACCCTTCTCTTCCTGGGCTGTGAATTGTGTGTTGTATTTCTAATGAATGCAGTAAAGATTCTCATGCAGTGGTTGAATATAGTGAGATTTTTAACATTTTTGTGAGAAAAGTTCAAAGGCAACTTTAATAATTTTCATATTCCTCTACAGTCTATCAGCTCCCTGGAAGCTTGAAATTAAAAAGGTATAACCCCCTCCAGAATTCTACATTGCAAGTTTGTTGATCTATAAGTCTGCTATGTATTTGCTCATGTGTGTTGAACAGATGGCACCGATTTATTTTCAACTGAAGTAAGGCAGCAAAACATTTTTCAGAAAGAAATCTGTGAAGTCTATGTCTTTAAGTAAAAATAGTATGTCAAATTGTTACATTTACATACCAGATTAAACATTCTTTTAAAGTATAAGTGTAAATTAGCATCACTGAATCTCAGGTTGGACGTATTTATAATACAAAATTTAAAAAAAGACAATGGGCTAAAATAATTGTTTAAATATAGAACATTAATTACAGCAGTCATTTTCTTTCTTGCTACAAGAAGAAAATGCAAATTAATTTCCTGTAAAAGTTTATCGACTATAAAGCAGAGACAAATCAAATCAAATTTGTGATAATCCTTAATGCTAACAAAGTTTCCTTTTAGAATTAAAGATGACATGTCACTT